CTACACTGCAGACTCAGAGGTGTATTAACATCCGTGTCATTGTTGAGAAGTGATGATTACAGAAGGGCGTCACCCTGAGTTAGCCTTTACTGCTCTGCAGGTGTTTCTTTTATAAATAGCTGTAGCAAACAAATCTGTAGACAAGACAAATCAGAGTTATATATAGTTTGGCTTTCAATAGTTTACAAACCCCTCTTTACAAAGCAGGTTTTTGTGCTGTGAAGACAGACTTTGGACAGTTCTAGCGTTAATGTTTTGGACTAATAAAGCATTTCTTCTCAACAATTGAACTATAAAACAACCTGTTAGATTGAATGTTGGAGTGATAACTGTGGTTCTAGTTGAACATAACATCTTTGTTGATTGGAAACTACATCTAATATAAATTTCTTGGTTTAACGTTCATTTTTGGTCTCACTTTGATGCTAGTCCTGAAGATTTGGGGAAAAGAAAACTAGAAATCGTGGTAACTTTATGGCCTTGTAGTGCTTTTGATGCTTCCATTGTGTTTCACTGTATGTATGGTTCTCTTTGCAGGGCTGTGTTTGTGCCTAAAATACCTTATGGAACTGAGGGGGGTTAAGTTGGGCCTTGAATCTTGTTGTATTTAGCCTCACAGTTTGTTTTCTTAGATCTTTGACCTTTCCTTATAAAATCTTAACGCTTTAGGTAAGAAGATAATATCACCTAATCAGCCTTTTATCTCACTTTAATAATATAACATTAGGTAGTTTAATTATTCAAAAATAAACCAGACTACTACTGTGTGCAAAATGGGTTTTGGTGAGACCAGGATTGATGATTAAGAACCAGTCGGATGCTTTCATTTGAAAACAGTTGAGTTCATATGGATTATGAATCTATAAGAAAATCTGAAAGGAAAATGGTGTAACATGTGGATGGTTATGCCAATGTGGTATTAAATCAGAAGTAAGAGGTCTAGACTTAGTCTTAGACAGATTTATTTTGTCATTTTGTATACACAAATGTAAAGAAAAAGAAATTTCGTTAGAACAGCTCTAGACAATTTCATATTTTAAAGTGCAGCCTTGAAAACAGTAATAAATACATAAAAATGTCTATGGAGCCATTTTAATGGAGCTGCTCAATGAATCAATTAAAAGTCATCATTGTAATATCAATATGTGCAATATTTCAATTGCAAATGGTTTTTTGGAAGAAAACTTTAGAATATCATCCTTGAAGCGCTATGCATTCATACTCTGCACGCATTAATGGCATATTTAATCAATGCTATGGACTTAAAGTGCCTTTGATTGTCAGTGACTGATGTTCTACAGCTGACAGAGGCGGAGGGGCATCGTAAAGAAGGAAAATATGGATTGATGAGATCTGATGCTTTCATAACATTGAATAACAATATGGCAGTAAGATTTTAATACAATGATGCCACTCTAATATTCTAAATATAGACTTTATAACTGAGACTCTGTAAGCCTCAGGGAAATGTTGAAATTGATGTGAGGACTATTCAGATCAAGGGCGCTTTTCCTGGAAGGGCTGCTCCAGGAAGAACAATTCAGTTTTGAAAGCAGCAACATAAAATATTAGTGAAGTCATTGCAGAATAAACCATAAAATTTCTTGAAGAATGTGTCTCTGACATGTGGCTTTAACAAACAGCACAAGGTTTGATGAAAGCATGGCGAGCTATGCCGCTTCACAGCAGTGAAGGCCTGAGGAATTGGATTTGTTTTGCAGCCAACAGGCCTAGGAGTTTCTGCAATGACTGAATCAACCATGAAGTCAGATGTGAAGCAACAGCTGAAGTTTCACTAAAACATTCAACAGGATGATTCCCTCGAGCAGAGCAGCCGATATACGACAGAATACACATTCAAACCCACTCAGCAGATTTCCCATTGAACGAACACAGGCGGTTCTGTGTTGCCGTTTGTCTGAACAGTGTGAATCTTTGTGAACAAAGTGAAAGGTGAATTGAGCTTTACATAAAGATGTCTACATGAGGTTGGAAGCTGGCTGCGGTTAATAAAACGGGCTAACCAAGCTTGACTTTTAACTTTGCAAACATAGCAGTTTGACAGGGCCTGCGGCCTCACAGAGAAAAACTTTCAACATATTTTCAGGGCTAAATAAACACAAGAGCTGTCTTACAAATGTTTACACACCTTCATAAACTACAAAAAACAGACAGAAGGAAATAAAAATATTCAGAAAAGATAAATAGGGAACAGATGTAGTTGAATAAATCATGACATGACGAAGTGTTTTGTCCTAAGAGTAAAAAAAATATATAAAAAATAGTATCTTTTTTGTTCGTTACAGTTGAATATTTTTGTCATTTGGTTTAAACTGTTGATTGAATGTCTGCCCTTGATGTAGGAGGACATCTACTGCTAAAAAACAGCGTAGTCTTTGTTTTTGTCGCCAACGTTGGAGACAAACGGCCTTTTAAAAAAAAACACACATGACACTCTGTAATAGGAGACAGCAACTTCAAAGCATCCCTTTTGAAATGCATACCTTGCATTTGCACAAAGTTAAGAACTTATAGTGTCTCACCTATTCTTTTGTCATTAGTTAGGTTTTGCCATAACATCCAAAACAGAAGGTAACATTCCATTAAAGATAAAGGGTTCATTGCATTTATAAAAAAGTTTGATGATTATCTTTATAAACATAAAAAGAAAAAAGATGAATAAAATAAAATAGATTTTCATTACTTTAAATGAGCTTATTGTTGAAATAAGCTAATTTGTTCCATGTCGGTTTTGTGGCTCTAAACGAATTTTCTTCAGTGGGATTAAAGGCAAGAATCTCAGGGTTGTAAAGGTCGCTGACCCTTGCTCTAAAAGCACAAAGGAGTTTATTCATCCTGGATTATGAATACAGTTCAGTAACATATATTTGTCTTTCATTTGTGGTTACTCATATCTTAAAAAAGAGCTTTTGTTTTCAACGTTTAAGGGAGAGAGTGTTTATCTATCAGAGTGGACGGCTCACTGGTAGAATAGAATAAAAAAGATAATCCCTTTTATTGTCCCACAATGGGGAAATTCTGGTGTTTACAGCAGCAAAAACACAGAAAAAAAAAGATCACATAAATGTGGACCTCTGCTTTTACAAGAAATCGAACCTTACGCTGATCCACACTTAGACACTGTGGATCAGTGTAAATGATCTCTTATGATTACGGCTGACTGTGGGGAGGCGAGACTTTCCCTCAGCAGTCCATCAGCTCATGTGATGTTTGCTTTTCTCCTGGCCTCTAAAGCTGTGGCGTTTATATTGACAGTCCACGTTCACACCCAGCTCCGCTCTTATTCTTTGATAAATCTAAGCAGAAATAGGTGAAAGTTAAATCAGCTCCACTTTGAGTTATTATTTATGTCAAAATGGATTTTTAAGGGACAAAAAAAAAAAAAAACAACAAACATTTCTTTTTACTTGTCTTAGTCCATCACTTTCACCTGGGATGAGCTACTTCACTGTTTTTATTTTGGGTTGGTTATAAATCATTTAAAAGCCCAAGTGTGTCATCTTACTCATGCATAATAAACCAGTTTCTTACAACCTAAAACTGACCAACCTGTGTTTCCTTCTGCATTTCAGCAGGCAGTTATGCTTTGATTGATCAATGTTGTCAAATGACACTGATCCAGTGGTGTCTGCTGAGCAGAAGTGGCTCTTTAAAAGTCTTTTAAAAATAGGGATATTAATTACACACTTCTCACTGGAATATCTTCTCATAAAAAACACCTTCACTCTATTGTTTTTGTTGTTGCAGAAGTATAAAAGGTGCAAGTGATTTGCTGTAAGCCAAGGATTGTCAGGTTGTCTTAATACATTGTTAGTGTTTTGCAGGATGTGTGGTTTTAATCCCAACCATCCGCTTCCTGTTTTCTGTCGCCACCTGCATGCAACATGCAGGTCTTGTTTCCATAACTTTATATTTGGTCTGTTTTGGTTGTATTTTTATACTCATTATTATCATGTGAAATAAATATATTCACCGCTTATAAACGTACCTGACTTTACAGGTTTTGCATATTCTGGCTTTTATTAGCAGCCCCTCTTGCATGGATGCCAGCAGGATGTACTAAATGCTTTGGTAGCAAAGACTCTTCCTCAGATTCTTCTCCAAGTCTCTGGTTTCTTCCTGCTCTCTGTTTTGTCTTCAGTCCAGTCAGGCGAGGTATTGATATTTCCGTTGCTCCTTGCCTATTTCTGCAGGGGTTTATCTGCTCGTTTGGGACTTGTTTTTTTTTTTTGTTTTTTTTTTACTGTCCTTGCTTTTTGTGCAGCATGAAGTTGGCTCATATAATTTGTTATGCAAATAATTTGTGAAGTTATCACAGAGGGTCAACTAAACATGGTTTGACACTGAATTTACTTCAGTTTTTCCTCAGAAAAACAAGTATGTTGACATCACTTTCCAGTTTTATATATCAGTGATCATCCAGGGAATACTGTTTTTTTTAGGTTTTCTCCTGTGCCACCATCTCAAGTCGCTTGCAGCCCTTAAACATTTTTCCCTGCATTTTTCTCCATTACCTTTCCTGTCCCCGTACCATAATGCTGCCACTACCCTGTTTGACTATGGTGGTGACATGATCAAAGCTTCTGTATTGTTGATTTAGTCTCACAGATTTTGGCAGTAACTTAGAAAGTTCAGACTGAGTTTCATCTCATCAGAGATCCTTAAGCTCCCATGTTTGCTATATTCTTCATCGGTCTTATGGGAAACTCTCAACAAAATTTCCTTTGGTGTTCTTTCAAAGGCCACGTTGGGTTTCTCTGCCATATCCAAGTTTACAGTTATCCACTATTTTTTGCAGCACAATCATAGTAAAATACTTTGAAGTTCGTGTTTTGTGACTTGAAGAAGTTTTGTCTGCATCTCTTTGTATTTTCTGCTTCGGATTTTCCTGTCATTTCCATTTCGTTTGAAGCTCCTTTTTGATTTTTCAAGATCTCTGCAGTCATTATTTACTCTCATTCCACTGCATTCACTCATAGGTCCCTGAGGTAATCAGCAGCATTCGCCAGGTTTCCAAATCTGCTCTAAAGGAAGAAACCAAGCCTAAACAGGAAGCTGAAGAGGCCTTTTACAACTCTCAGAAGTTTGAAGTGCTTTACTGTGGCAAGGTAATTCCCTAAAAAAAATTGCTCTATGTTTGTTGATTTCAGGCTCTTTACAAAATGACTGTTATGTTCCTTTTATCTCTAGGTTACAGTGGGCCACAAGAAGGCGTCCTCAACCCTCATCGATGAATGTGTTGAAAAATTTCGCCAGCACGAGACTGAACGGAAGCGCCTGCGGCTTCTTAACGGACAGCGAGGGTCGACAGAGACTGTCCCTGTGGATTTAATCATTCTAGAAGACCCACTCTCTACTGCCATCAGTAGGACTGCAGAGGAACCTGAAGCTCTGGGACTGGAGGACATGACGATAGGTAAAAAAAACACCCCAGGCAAACCTAGAGTCCGCTTTTCCACTTGTTTTATAAGGGAGTACACATTTTTTAAGCAGTACGCTTAAAAAATATATATTTTCCACTTTTAAAACACATCAAACCCCCCAAAAATCTTGGCTTTATGTGAGCACAAATTTAATAATTTTACCAGACGGTACTTTAACATCAATTATCTTACAGTACATAATATTGGTAGGTTGGTACATAAGCACTGCAAACACAATCTAGAAATAAGTAAAAATGTCTTAAATTAAGTGTAATTACCCTTATTTTGAGTAGGTAAATAAAAGTTTTGCCAATGGAAAAAGGATTTTTACTCTTAAAACAAGATAAGTAGATAATATGCACTTGAAACAATGCAATTATTTTTCTTATTTTATATGTAAATTGTCTTGTTCCATTGGCAAGGTTTCTCAGTTACTTAACTTAATTTAAGAAAAAATGCACTTATTTAAGAAAAATTTATATTTCAAATGATTTTTTTTTACATTTTTTGACTGATATCTAAATGCATAAATATTTAATCATTTTCATCAGTGAAATAATTTCCTTTTAAGTCGACATTTGCGAATGAATCTGCATGGGAAGAGACAGGTGCACCTATGTTTCTACTCTCACCTACCATTGTGAGATTGGGGCTCTCTTGATGGTCGGGCTCTTGGAGTAGAGCCACTGCTCCTCCACTTCAAGAGGGTTCAGATGAGGTGGTTTGAGAATTTGTTTCCAGTGTGCCCTGCACACCTCCCTCCGGAAGAGGCCCAGGACGCCCTGGAGGAACCATTGGCTCTTGTCCACCACTATCAGCTGTGAAATATTTCCATTACTGCCTTTTAAGTATCATACCTACTGCTGAGAAGGGCTTAAAAAAGGCGGCATCGGTTCTGCCGAAGTAGTAACTGAAAGGTTTTAAAGTTGGTGGGATAGAATAGAGCCAGGCCGAGTGGAGTAAGTGGAGGAGCCCATGGAGGGAGGCTTCGTGCTCCCCTAACTGAAGATAGAGAAGGAGCACATTCAAAAAATAAGGTTTGGGTTTAAATCCCAGCTAGAGGTCCATCTCTGTGGACACTACTGATAATAATGGGTTTTCTCCAGATTCTGTTGGTTCATATATGTGAAAAGGCAAACCAATGAATTTTTGACGTCCTGGTATATTGAGACACACTGCTAGAGTACCATCGTCAGGAGCTGGTAAAAACACAACAAAAGGTCACTCTTAAAAAATCTTATTGAGGCTAGAAAAGAGAGTCTAAGAAAATATTCCAGTTGAAAATTTCTCAGAGTTACCGTTGCACTTAAAAAAACTTCCATCTGTCAGTGGTTAGCTCTGGTATATTCTCCTTAAGAATCTATCCCTAAGCAGGGATTGATGCCATAACAAAAAGGAAACATGTTTAAACTGGATGATACAGAGAAACCTGTCTGATTACTTGGGAATCAAGACATTATTTACATACAGCAGAAACACTTATCCATAATGGCTGAAGGCAAAAAAATAATCCTTAATCTAAGTACCGTAATAAGACACCTGAAGTTTTTCCTTTCCTGGTCCAGGTAAATGTGCGTCCAGCAGTGCCAGTCAGAGCAGTCTGCGGGGAGCCTTTCCTGAGTGCATCCTGGAGGACTCTGGGTTTGAGGAGCCTCAGGAGTTCCGCACGCGCTGCAGCAGCCTGGCCGGGAGTCTGCAGAGGAAGCCGGGGGAAGGCGTCATCATGGGTCCCACGCGCCGCAGACACGCAAGTGCGCCCAACAACGTGCAGCCATCTGATTCTGATAAAAACCGAACTATGCTGTTCCAGGTAAAGGAAACCATGAAAGACATGTCCCTTTGAATATTTAAATCTATTCACTAAATATCTGTCTAAGAATCAATTTCTGCAAAAAAGACGAAAGATGTATGTTACTGGTAGCACCTGCTCGATCTGGAGTAATCTAGTTCTTTACTGTTTCACTGCTTCATACCCCCCTGCATTCAGGCAGTGAACTCTCACAGTACTGCAAATCATTTTAACATGCACACGCCTGGCAGGTGTGATGCACAGACTTGCTTTGTGTACTCTGTAACATGTCTCCTGGTGGAGTTGGATGCTTTAACTGCTGTCATAAAGTTTTTTCTCCTGTGTAAACTCCAGGCCTCTCTATTAAAAACATGTGGGCTGCAGCACGTACCAGCTGCCATTCCTCAAACACCGTGCCCATTTCCTCATGAGGCTAATTTTAAAAACTAGAGCACAACGTTCAATATGATACTCCACATGGCAGTCAATAATTGGAAAAATCTTTTGCAGGCTGGTTGTCGGCCTTGATTTAGAGTTAGAGCGGATGAGGAACAAGTTAGTATCACATAATACTGGGATTATAAGAGATTTTTGCATGACCTTATAAATATAAATAATAAAATAGGTTGACGTTAATGATCAATACCGCTGGCTTTAATATGTCACATTGTCCCAGAGCTCTGCTCAAGCTGTCTTCCGTAAATAGAGAGAAAGTAACATAAGTGATGGATTGACAAACCATGGCCGCCCAACTGAAGAGATAATTCATTGAAGAAGAAGCATAGAGGCACATTGGGATTCTTAAGGAGTTTCAGAGAGCCACAGCTCAGGTGGAGGAATCTGTCCAAACCGATTGCTTAAGTCATCTGGATGCATGCAAAAAACTTTGTGCAGTGTTAAACTAATATCGCATATCCCCTACATTGGAAATGATGATGGCAGCATTATGATATGGTGACGCATTACTTTAACAGTTTATATAATACAGAGAAATCATGAAATAAAACCTGTTCTAAGTTGTTAAAGGTATGAGGTTTGCCCTCCAGTAGGATCCACAGCTGTAGACATGCGGTCAGAGCAGCAATGCTTCCCACCACAGTGCATTCATGTGACAGGATTAACCTTTCGAAGTCCAGGCTTAGATCAAAGCCGATGGTGAGAGAAGCTCTCCATCCCATCTGACTAAGCATAACTGATTTGCAATAGAATGAGCAAGAGCTGTAACTGTTGGGGACTTAAACCAAGGAAATAGCAACAAAAGCTGGATCCATAAAGTAGGAAGGAATTAAAGACAACAGATAAAAATTATTTTATTTTTACATTTCAGTTTACATTAAAGCAAAGGTTTTTGTTGCTCTAGTAATTTAAACCATTCTAAGATGCACTAAAGTTGGGGTTAAAATAGTTGTTGGAAAATGGGTAAAAGGGGATGCAAGTACCTGTAATAAACTAGACAGTTAATTCCTGCTGCATCCAGCGCCGCCGTGCTCGGCTACATTGCAAAGCCCAGAGAAACGTGGAAGTAGGATAAAAAAACCCTCCTGCTTTAAAAGGGTTAAAACTGCTTTACTTTTCCATTTTCACAATCTGGATGCTTTCTGTTGTTATATTCTTAAATAAATAAATTGAACATCATTGATCTCACAATAGAGAACTTCACTTCTGAATCTTAACCCATCCCCTTGGGGAGCAGTGGGCTGCCACTGTTCGGCACCTGGGGAGCAATCAGGGGTTAAGGGTCTTGCTCAGGGACACAGAGTGCAGGCTTTGGGGATTGAACCGGCTAATTGCAACCTTCTCAGAGAACAAGCTCATTGCTGTAACCACTTGGCCACCACTCCCCAATGCAGGAGTACACTGAGTGTTTGTATATATATATATATATATATATATATATATATATATATATATATATATATATATATAATTTTTTTTTTCTCGTATAGACCTATATGGTGAAGTCTTTCAGTAAATCTAACCTCCTAAAGTGAATTTTCTAAAAATCTGGATATGTTTTCTGTATTTCTGCTGCGCTCTGAAATCTGGAAAAAACAGAATTGGGGCAAATTTGCCGGTTAACTGCCATTGAACTGCTGCCTGGGCCACCATGCGCAGGAGATGTTAATGTGTTCATCGATTATAACGGCTGCTTATTTGCTGCAGAGTTTGTAGCTAAGCAGAACCTAGTTGAAAGTAGCATAATTTGGGTTGTAAGAGATTTAAAAGGATCTGTATGTATATGATGTCGGGCTGAAACAGTTAATTAGATTAATCATGATTAATCGATTATTGAAATAATTGTCAACTGATTTAGTAATTGATTTATTGTAACTGGAGTATAGAGACTTTAAAACATGACTTTAGCTGACAGAGAATTCAACTTAGAGCAGTAATTATATTAAATTTGAAAAAATATATATATGAACATTTTGCATTTAAGATGATAAAGATTTTTCATTTGTCAATATGCTCTATCTAGAACTCCTCAAGTGAAAAAGCTTTAGTTTCAGTTAAGGAACCTTTGCCTATCCGATTAATAATCGATTAAAAGAAAAAAAAAATGACAGATTTGCAAAATAATTGTTATTTGGAGCCCTAATATGATAGTTTTGTGTGTGACAGGTTGGACGGTTTGAAGTGAACCTGATCAGTCCGGATAGTAAAACAGTGGTGCTGGAGAAGAACTTCAAAGATATCTCATCCTGCTGTCAGGTTGGTTCTTTCTTATTTTCTCTGTTTACCCAGTAAAGCTTTTAGTTTTTTGCTTCAGCTCCTGGTTTAGCCCAGAGTAACTTTGTGCAGCACAGTGGAAATGTGCTCTTTTATTCATACGTAATGCTTTTGAATGCATTGAAAAAGACTGTTATTATGAAAGCTAATGGACTGCCTTGTGGTTTTGGTAATTTCCTGATAAAATAGGACACGGCTTGGATTTGCTGCAGCTGAGTGAGCATGGTTGCATTGAGCATCTTCCTGTTCTGTCTTTGTCGTCACAGGGTGTAAAGCAGACCGACCATTTCGGATTCATCTGCCGGGACCAATCAGAGTCCGGTCCGGGTCAGTACATGTGCTACGTCTTCCAGTGTGCCAGCGAGTCCTTGGTGAGTTACATGAACGCTGTAAGTGAAAATAATGGCAAAGAGCAAGAGGGGAAGAGGTTGTTTCTTTTTCTTTATCAGGTTGATGAGGTGATGCTGACCCTGAAGCAGGCCTTCTCCACCGCTGCAGCCTTACAAAGCAATAAGACTCCAGTGCAGCTCTGTGAAGCATGCCCCATGCACGACCTGCACAAGCTCTGCGAGAGGATTGAGGGTAAGCCACATGATTGGAGCAGCACATGCAACAACTCTTCGATATACTGATGCATGGTCAGTTTCTAAGAGTTTGTTGTTTTTTTTTGCAGGTCTTTACCCACCCAGAGCCAAGCTGGCCATCCAGAAATACCTCTCCCAGTTAACTGATAATGAGCAGGCAGAGATTTTTGAGCGAGTTCAAGTAAGCACGCTTTCTCCTCTTACTCCAAGTAACACATTAACAGTTTAAGTTGAATGTTTGCTAAGAGATGTTCAGGATTTCAAAGTTGTTTTACTGGCCTTGAAGCAGACTTTCCCCCAGTTGTTTTCCTTTAAAGTATTTGAGAGTTTGTTTCTCCAGAGACTGAAGCCTGCCTCTGACCAAGAGGAGAATGAGTTGGCGATTATGTATCTAAGGCAACTCTGCGAAAGCAAACAGAAATCCCATCTTCATATCGGAGAAGCCCCTCAGGTATATGCTTCCCTCTGAAGAGGATCTAAAAACTGTTATGCTGATGTGGTTAAAGCTTGTGAATCTGTGATTTAAATACTTCATCTTTGTTTAACTTTGCTGAAGATTGGAAGTTGGATTAATGGTTTCCAATGAACATTAAAGGTATAGGGGAGAATCTTCTTTTTCCAGGTGGATTATCTAAATAAGTGGTCCTCCTAATTTTCAATCATTCCGGTGTTTTTTTGTTTTTTTTTCTGTAAGGCCGTCCTACAGTACGTGCTCATCCCCTGTTAGCTATCTTTTTCTGCACATGCGCACTTTCAGGCATATATCTGTGGTGAGCTACGGTTTCAGTCAGTCATTGAAGCTCACCTTTCTCACCGCGGTTCTTTGAAAATGACCGAGGGTCGTAAGAGAAAAAGTGTCTATGATGTGTATGAGAAGAAAAGAAAGGGCTCAGAAGAGAGAAACAAGACCAGAGTTTTTTTGGGAAGTAAGCTTGTATGAGCTATGAGAACAGCAACTTTTAAGCAGAACGTGCACAAGGAAAAATAGGCTCCTTCTCCTTTAAAAGGCGTCCCCTCTCGGGAGCAGGTACATGGTTGTGCATGTGCAATTTTTTTTAAGTGGAGAGGGCGGGTCTTTTTGAAAAATTTGCAAAAATCCTCCATTAGACCTTTAACTCTTATATACAAAAATCTCCCCTTTTTCTAAATTTAAACAAATAGAAGAAATAATAAATATGTCATCAAGAATATCTTCACCTTAATTAGGTAGCTGGGGCACTTAGATTTAATCTAACAATTTACTTTAAGAATATTTATTTTCTTTAATATCGCTTTAACAATTTTAAGGAATTTCATCTTCATACATCTTAAGTTTAATAATTTAACATTAATAGCATTTAAGCAACATTCTGATTAATTATCCTCATTATTATTGCCCCTGAAACATCTTGGTGTTAAAACAAAAAAAGGCATAGGACTGAATTTAGCTTCATTTAGTTTTTTATCATGGTTATTCATTTTCTCCTTTTGGTATTTTTAGTGTTTTCAGTCCAATATTATAAATGGTATTGAATTGGGTTCAGGATAAAAAATATTGAGATAATGAAACTAGACCTGCATATCAAATCAGGATTCCTTACTGAAACTTGAAATGTCGGCTTATAGTTTAATCCGTTCTTAATATAAGTAATTAGAAAAAGGGATCAACTGTGATCTAGTGACATTTAATTGCACTTTTTTTATATTGTAAACTATATCTTCTGCCTGTGATCCATGTTTGAGTCTTTTTTTCTCACACAAAACAAGATAGATTATGACACCTAATAAACAAAGATAGCTGAGCAAACTCCTGTGGCTGGATAACACTTAATAGAGTCACAAAATTATTTTTCCTTTCATAGACTATAAAAAGGTTAGGATTACAGGTATCGACTATTTTAGTAATCGATTTAATCTGTTATTTTTTCCATTTTTGAAGAAAAAAAAGATACTTTTAGTAAATCAATATTAATAAATTAAAGGACATTTTGGAAAAAAATTATTGTCCTTTTTAAATGTAATGGAAATGGTTAAAATGTTAATTTATGTCCTACATTTTTGCTATAAGTAGGTTATTCTTTATACATTGACATTTAAGGGGGATGTGGACCATTATGCCATGTAACAATTGAATTTGATTAGCAAATTATTTATTTAACTGATGAATCTCTATTAATGCGAATAATTGTCTCCCTTCTAAAGAAGTTTTAGAAAATTATTTAGGTTGTTAAAGAGGATTTAACGTTTCCAATGGCAGACAGCTACCTTTTCTGCCTAACATTTCTTGGGCACAGAAATCTGAAAAAAAAATGTAGTTCCTTTACCTCCATGAGTGGTTGTGCACCAGTGTAGGTGATATAAAAATTATTGCATTTTAACTGAACGGAATACATGAACTGAAGATGAGTTTAGATGCAATAAAAACTGTTCTACAAACTGAATAGCTATTTGTCGCTCTCTAAACTTGTTGGTAAATGGAAAAGCATTACCTGTCCTGTTTATTGGGTAAGTTTCTTTGATGCCAAGTTAGATTTTAATGGGGTTAAAGAAGGAATAATGGCCCCAGAAAACTAATCTGGTTCTTAGAAGAGAGTCTCTGCAGTGAAAAAACACACTGATAGCTTGTTGCTATGTTTCTTTTACTTTAAAGAAAAAGGTGAGGTGGGAAGAGTTCCAGAAAAAAACAAGTCTGTTTTTCTTTTTTTACTTGTGGAAAGTTTTCCAAACAGTTTTTTTTTCTTTGGGAAAAGTTCAGGTTAAATCCACTCATGGTTGTTATACACAGCTTACTGACAGCTTCCAGCAACAGATGAGGGTGGAGCAGCAGCACTCTTTACTCCATTGGGTTAGAGAAAACCCTGCTCTGTCAGTCTGTCAGTGTTTATTAAATGGAATTTTACAATGACTTTGAAACAATGCCTTTCTACTGCTGTGTGCCTTAAAACCAGAAAGTGCTTCTGCTTTTTACAACCATCAGATTATCCACGTTTTAAAGTCCTGACCCTGGCTTACCGTTAAAAGTACTTATAATTGTGAAAATAAATGGGCGGTTAGAATAGCTGTCATTATGGTAAAAAAAAAAAAAAAAAGAGCTATAAGAATCAGTGTGAAGTCCCCTTATCTTTAAGCAGAAGTTTTTGTTGAAAATATTTAATTTATCAGTTTTAAAATCTTTGCGTGATAAATATGATCTCTCCAGCTGCTATTGTTCTTAAAACCAGCCCTTAAAGCCTGTGTCTTCTAGTTTTACCCATGCCTGATGCTTTTCTAGCCTTCTTCTAAATGATGATCTCTCTGATTATGTTTTTAATTACAGAATGCAACCAATAGCGCAGCTACAGGAGATGGCGCAGCCACCGGCAGTCGATTCAAACTAGATATCCTCAAGAACAAAGCACGCACATCCCTCACCAACTCTCTTGAAAACATCTTCGCCAGGGTAGGACAGATTTTTATTTTTTACCTTATTACGTTCCTGCTTTGTTTCAGTATTTTGTCTTCATTTGTCCTCCACCTGAATGAATACAGCCCCAAGCTATGGATCTTTTTTTGGCCTTCCCCCACCCAGCTCGGTCTTTGTGTTTGTAGCTGTTTCAGTGTCGTACTCATCCAGAGGATTTGGATTGACCCATATCTGCCAGGGAGACAACACAATAATTCCTCAGTGAAGGGATCCAGGCATTCAGAGAGTCTCTGCTGCCATCTGTTATTATCTCTGACACCTAGCTGAACAATTACACTGAATCCTATAAAATCTGAAAACATCTCCCCTCTCTGTATCTTGTTTATTATCCTGTTTTTTTTTTTTTTAATAATTGTATCTTTTTGCATTATGTTTCACATTTTATCTCTATCTGTCACCAGGGAAGCAGAATGCGGGGCCGCCTGGGAAGCATGGGAAGCGTTAGCAGTTTCGAAAGAGTAAGTGTCCTTGAAAAAGGAAACATGAGAATTCCCAGAGCTTTATCCTGGGAATTCTCTCACTTTTACCCACCGGCTTATTTAAACCCTATTATATTCCACCTCTGCCATGAGCATCAGAGCAGAATAATAGATTTCCTCTCTTTCTCCAGTCATTGCATGCTGCCACTGGGGCTTCTTTCACATGGAGACAGGAATTTGCTCTGAACTGTTTCCACATGATTTTAAGATTAAATGGCGCTTGCCAAGAGGCCAAACTGTGCTGCAGGGAGTCCGTTCACAGAGGTGTCAGTGAACCACTCATAACAAGTGGTTGAATTTTTCCACTGTTGTGCAGAATGTGAAGTGAGAATGAAATTAAGTCTCCTCGCGTGTTTATCAGCATGATGTTCCAAGCATTTTGTTGGTTTTGCATATGCTTTCTACAACATTTATAAATTACAATAAGGTGGTGACTACTGCAACAACCTCTGCTCAAATCTAACCTATTACTATGATATAGATATTTTAGATATATTTAGTTAGATGAGCAGATACATGTTAGAAGATCTGATTAACATCACTGCATGCTTCTTTATGAATTCATTATTTAGATAAGTTACAGCTAAGATCACAGAAAGTTTGAACTGAAATCAAGAGAGTAACAGTGAAAGCAAGTGGCAGCTACACAAGTACAGTGTCAGCCAGTTTTTAAAAAATATACTTTATCATTTTCATGATGTTGATTTACACATGAGTGACACTGTAGATCTAGACAATACAGAATGGGAACATTAAGGTATAGTTGGCAGATTTTATTACAGTACTCTAGGTTAATATTTTTTAAACTTATATCTTCATTTTAGGATGAATCAGAGTCTCAGTAACCTTGTGCGGCGCCAGATCTGAGTTTTCAGTCTCATAACAGCTAAAACGTCCGTCTCGTAACCACCAGCGGGTCGGACCAATGATGAGCCAGCAGTGTTTTTTTTGGGGGGCGACATGTAGAAATGAAGACAGACAGAAGGGCCTTGCCGGGGCATTACAAACATAGCTATGCTGGAGGACCCACCTGTTGATACTGCAATTGACTTGGTTTTAGCAAAAATAGCAACAATTTTTCATTTAAAAAAGGAGTAAAGAGAAGCACGTTGTGCATTTGTAGATGGGGAAAGATGTATGTGCTTTTCTTCTGACAGGATTTGGAAAAAGTTTAATTTATCAGCTTACGCCACTAGTTGTGAGAACACTCAGTATTGTGATCATCGTGTCTCTGTTGGTAGCTCTCATGGACGACCAAGTTGCTGCATCCATTAAGCTGGGTTTTTCTGCTGTGAAGCTGGGTGACAATGATGGCAAAGTCCTGATTTGAAAGCGCATTATGGAAGGCGGGTACTAGCTGGCATGTCACTGAATCAGCTCTAAATATTGCACTGAATAACCCTCTTTTTCATAGACAGACTGAACGGCAGCCATCCCAGATTGATAACGTAGAACTCAACTCAGTTCTACACTTTTCAGCCTGGCTGCTGCCAGGTTACAGTCTCAGTTCAGGGTGTCCAAAGTGTGGCCCTTGAACCATTTGCAGCATTTGGTAGGTTTTTATGTGACCCTCAATAATGATTGAAATACAGACTTTCGTGTGAGATTTTCCTGATAAAGTGCAGAACGATTAAAATGTTCCCTTATATTTAAAAATGTCTGGCACAATTTAAACATTTCATCTTTAGAACAAAGTTGTTAGCCTAGCTTTTAATGTTTTTGTATGCTTTTCTTTCATGAAGGTTTAGTCATGCTTACTGGATGTGTTTCTGTGAACATTGGACTGCTTTTATTTATAGAAATACTCAGTATCTAGTCTGTTGCTAATCAGTTATTAGATATTAATAATGATCGGAAAATATGCCATAGAAATTTTTGAACTAGAAAGAATTAGTGTTTCTCATGGCAAAAGGTTTGGCACCACTGGTAGCTGTTTTCCGAGATACTAAAACAATAACAAACAGTACCTAAATCCAGCCAGTAGGTGACGATAAAGTTAGAATTCAAATGAAGTAGGTCCTGGGTTTAGCAGAACTAAAGCCCAGCCTATTTATGAACACTTTTTAAAACTCTTCTCTTCAGGTCACATTTGAGTTTCAATAAAAGTAAAATCTAGAAAAATGTGAGGAAGAACACAGAAAAATAAAAGTTGGTTTCTGTCATTGAAAACAAAGGAGTAGTTATGAGAAAAGGGTCTTTATACCCTTACATTTAATGATGCATGCACAACGATGCATAAAAAAATTTGTATTATGAATTAATACTTTTGCTTAAATTGATTGTAGGTAAAAAATTTAGCAGCTGTTAGGTTTTAGGGAAACGTTCCATCAGTGTCTAGAGGGGTTTCTGAGCTGTTTAGCCTGTTGATCAACTTTAGCATGCAACACGGTTGCTGCCATGCTGCGAATATCCATGGATATGATCTCCAATTGCAAAAGACTGTTTAGGTGCATTTTTTTTGAAAAAGCACTGAAATTTCATCTGCCTATCACTGAAGCTCTATTTACCAAAAACATATCTGGTGGCTGAGACACCTGCACTTCTGCTGCCCTTTTATTGCCCAGTGAATTGGATCTAAGATTAAACCAAAAAGATCTGGGAGAGTGATAGAAATGTTGTTCTGATTGGAAAAGAAACAGGCAGCAGTACAGCAGAGTCATATCACACTATTTATGTTTCACTACAGCCGTGCTGCCTTAGGGGAGTTGTTCCCCGAAGGAAAATGATTCTTAAAAATATGCAGAAAATTGCTCAGGAGAATCTGAAAGATATCTGTCTAGCCTCTACTTCAGATCCATCAAAATGCTTCTAGCTTCAAACCCATCATGTCAGATTTACTCAAACCCAGAGCTGCCAGGTTGAGGATTCTTCTGTCCATCTTTTATTAATGTTGTATATCTTCTACTCTCTGAAATCAGTCAGCAGCTGCAGATTATTGTTTTGGCTCCTATCCATCAGTCAGATTGATAGTACTTAAATCCTGCAGTTGGGGTGCTTTCTCAACTTTGTACAATAAAAAGCGGTTAGAAAAAACAGCTTTTGTTGACAATCTATGCATCACATGCTTTGTGGGACCCCCCCACCACTCTCAGGATATGATGTATGAGTAAGCAGGAAGCCCCTCTCAGGATGTCCAGTAAAGCTTCAGCTGACTTGAGTCTGTCTGGTATTGTCTTTTAGCCTCAGCATAGGAAAGAATGACACAGAGTCTGACATGCAGCAAAGGCAAAGTGCTCACAGCTTCAGTTTGTTCTGCAGTTCTACTCCAGACAGAAATTAAAGTAGTACAATGATGGAAACAAGCAGCACAAATGTCACTGTACATGTACGTCCAGTATGCTGACAGAAGTTAGGAGGGAGGTCTCTGAAAGCAGCAGAGGAGCAGATTGGAGGCTTTTCATGCTGAGTTGCTTCCACTGAGGTCCTCCCCACCAATAGTGAGCGATGCTGCCAGTCATAGGACATCATCCATTAGAATACAATAGATGTGGGAGTTGTACCAGCAGGCATGAGGCACAAAGTCCAATAGTGGCGAGTAGAGAAGTTAAGCGTGGAGTCAATTTTACTATGAGGAAGTAGGTAGGTGCAGATTTGGAACCTTTGTGTGTTTTTATGGCTGTTTGTGATTTTATTTCCAAAATGCTGGCTTGTTTGACAGGTTTAAGTCCGAGCATCCTGGACCTGAATGTGGTAAATATGTAGCAACATTCAGCCTCTCTCTTCCACTCTTTGTCCTCTCCAGCAGGATGAAGAGTCTCCTGGTCACTCCCCTCCAGGTTCGCCTCCCGCCTTCCCGGACGACGAGCAGGAATTTGGACCTCAGTTCCGTCGGCGCGCTTACACCTTCAGCCACCCGCCGGTGAGGAAGCGGATCTCCTTCGAGAGCCAGCCTGCCAACCAGAGCAAACAGGCTCCTCTTCGCAGACAGCACTCTGTTAACCCAGAGCTGCTGCAGACCAGGTAAAATGACTGAAATAGTCGGGCAGTCTTTGCATCCTTTTCTTTACACTATAGAAAACACATTACAATCATGTGACCAAAGATTTTCTAACATTTTAGTCCTCAAGTTATTTAACAACTATTTATTTAAGCATTTGATTTCAGCGCACACTTTGTAATCTATTAGCAACACTTTGATCACTCTGAAACCTCTCTTCCCCCCAGCTGTCCTCTTAAACAATAGCATCACAGGTTTCCTGTCAGTGTTTTGGACCCACATGTATTCCCCCGATGTTGTGCTTTCCTTTATGTAATGTTTATTCTTTTTTTTTTTTTTTTTCATTTGTGGCCATTTCATGTTCGGCCCTCCTAGTCACGTGGCTGTGACGAGGACACGCAGCGTTTCAGAGAGCGAGTCCTCCTTCAGCCTCCCCTCCACCTTCTCTGCTCCAACTTTCCTGAAAAGCTTTTACCAGGGCTCGCTGGGCTCCCTGGCAGACAGTGGGAGCTTCAAGAGGTGAGCCGGGGGAGCTCGGACCTGCCCCCCCTTTGCGTAGACAGACGGCTGATAATGGAGGTGACATCTGTGGGAAGGGAACAGCTGACCTGTTGCCATCCTGCTGGGATGGCAGGAGCCATAAACCATGTTGGCTGTGGAATTTCTATAACTCGCATCTATGCTTTCCACGTTCTTTCTTCCCTCTTTTTTTTTTTTTTAAATATTCACAAAATCTTTCCAGGATTTCCAGACTTTTCTTTCCCTGTTAGCTTTGCAGCCGGACCTGTCTTCTTCCCCTTTAGACAGAGAAACTGATGCACAGTTCTCTTTTATTTGCATGAACATTTTATGCTTTTGCACGACAAACTTCCTGTGTTTCACTGGGAGAAACAGACATTATTTACTACATTTCATCCTTTTACGCATGACAGCATATTAATATGACCTTTTCAGGCTTTTTTTAATTGGGGTTCTGTGGAACAGACCAATGCAAAGTAGCTGATTCTTGAAGTGAAAGAAAAAGCATACCTTGTTGTAAACTCCGTGGTTGATTTCTCTGCAATGATGACAGAGAAATCTGCCAATTCTCCTAACATGACTTGATCTAAACATGGCCGCCGAGGCTCTGCCTGTGATTAGAGTGTCTGTCTAAAGATGAATCTTCATGGCTGTCTCACGTCTTTAACAGCTTCCAACAGGTTGTCATCACGATTTGCTCAAAAACAAACAAGGCGTTCTACTAGTAGGTCCAAAAGTTCAAAGTGCTTCTTATTCAACAGAAGAACTTTCTTCTAATTTCTTTCATTTGGCAAGCTGGACTTTTTATGAGTGTCTTTAGTCAATGGATTTCTTCAGGCCTTTGTTCCAAAAAGGTCAAACTCATGGATGCATAACGAATAATTGTCATATCAGCAGATTCTCTCTCCTTCAGCATGGATATCTGCCTCTCCATTGGCTCCTTGGTGACCCCATTAATTAGCCCTTTCCTTGCTGACCTGTCAGTTAAATTGACGTCCTTGTCTTGTTTTAGTTTTGCAGCTGTAATCTGCTCATACTAAAAGGCTCACTGAGATCTTGATCTTTTATGACCTTACTTTTCTTTCAACATCTTGCTCAATTTGTATTCTCCAAATTCCATGGCGCTCCTCGATCTTGACGGTGGTATTTTTCATAATTGTTCTCTATCAAGCAGCTGTATTCATACTGACATTAACAGGTGAATTCCACCTAATGATAAGTTGACCTTTTGAGGCCGATTATTTGGGAGTTTTTTATGGGGTATGAGAGTAAAAAGCCCATCAACATCACATTCTTTCTGGTTTTTATTATTCTATAAAAATGGATTTTGAAGAGCCATGAATCGGTTTCTTCCACTTTACAGCCATGCAGTAATTGCTGTTGCTGTCAAAGAGCAAATTGATAAGAAAGAGACGGAGTTAACCTCCTTTGTTTTTATTCTATTTATTCTCAGGGTTTTTGGAAACCTTTAGCTAATCGATGTCTGTGTTTGGCTTATTGATAAAAACAGGACAAACCGTGTCTGAGAGTCTGTTGTGTCTCCTTATGGGGTCTGAATGGCAGAAAGTAAAGGTTAACATTTCCATTATGAATGAGATGCAGCGGAGCAGATCATTGTGCTGTATTACTTCCTCAGAAGGTGTCGTTTTCTCTCCTAGCAGCCAGACTCCAGTGGTAGCCCTGGTATCTGCTGTTACTTCTTGAATTTCAGAGTTTCTTCATTACGGAGCGCGTTCAGAAGCCTTCATTTGAAAAATGCTCCATAGAACATCTTCATTGTCAGGATTTCTTTCTGGTGTTTTGAGATCCTTTCTGCAGCTGAGGTTTTTTTTTAGATGCTGCCTTTTAGAGGTGAAAAAGGAACATAAATCAAGGGAGGAATTTTAAGGAGTAATTTGTGAAGCACCAGTTGGTGCCCGATCTCTGCTTTAATGACACTAGTCTTGAACCAAGGTCACTTCCTGTTTCCCACTGCTCACATGGTCAGACAGGCTTTTGTGTGCTGAGCAAGCTTTTTGTGACTATCAGCCATAGGCGGACATAATTATTTAATGGGCTGAAAATGGAAATGCCAGAAAATCACTTTTTGCTTCAGGTGTTTGAATTGTTTCCATAATCTTCACACAAAATAAATGTATTTATCTTATTTTCAAGCCATTGAAACATTAATTTGATATAAGTCATCTTGGCAAATATGGAAAGCTGCTTTTTATTTAAATAATTTAAATGAAACTGTTCCCCATGTGCAAAAATCCATATACTGTAGAAACTAGATTTTAAAATTTAATATTTTTAAAATGTTTACAGTTTTATTTTGTTAATACCTTCGTATATCTCCTTAGTAGTCTGCACCTTAGCTTAGCAAGGACGGATCTAAAATATAGAAAACATACCATGGGGGAGCACGGTAGTGGCATCATTATGCATTATGGAGGAAATAGGTGGAATCAAAGTCAGAATAATTTGTCAAAGGCTCAATAGTACTAGGGGTAAGTAAACTTACTTGTGTGACGTTCTAATTATAGTTGTTGTTTTCTGATTATTGAGCATGTCAATAAATGCCTGTAGATGCCTTTTCAGCACAAATAAGTTGTGTTGGAATCCACACATTAAAAGTGATGTTAGAGGAGTTTGAACAATGAGTCAAAGAGTGTGATGTTGGACATTATCCTCTTTTTAAATAAAAATCTCTGAATCAGATCGCCAAAAAATAGCAGATTTTATTAAAATCTACCAACAAACTGATTTCTTATGAATATGTTGATTGTATGGTCTGAGAGAGGCGAGTTCTTAAAAGATTTTGCATGCGATTATTTTTGGCTAAAACTACAGCAAGGCTGAGAACATCAGGTTTAAAAGAGATGCTCTTTTTCTTCACTGATGATCAGCTTCTGTTTCAGGAAGACAGTGAAGGTGTGCATGTTCCTCAGCCGTGGCGAATGTTTGTTCTGTTTACTACTGCTTCATTAACACAGAGACAATTAAAAGGTGAATGGCTGTTGGTTTTCTGAACATCCTAAAGGTTCAGCTTTGCCATTTTTTTTTAACTGCCCAGAAATTTGAATGAGTTCTCCTGTTGTGCTTTGGTTTTCAGAGTGTTTGTGTCTGCCATTATTAGAGCACTTAAAAAGAGTCGGTGTAATGTGATGCCGGACCCCTTTATCAGGTGTCTCTGACACATCTGTCGTCTCTTCTAGCAATGGAGAAGGCAGGAAAAGGACGCTGTCGAGCTGCAGCAATGACTCTCTGAGCGGAGGTCTCCCTCTGACCCCACGCAGGGTCTCCTGGAGACAGAAGATCTTCCTGCGGGTCGCCTCACCCATGCCCAAGCCATCTGCATCTATGCAGGACACAGGTGTGGTAACATAATCTATCAAGGGCTTCTACAGGGAGCCATTGTGTGCAGCACATGATCTGCTAGAGCTCAGGAGAAAACTGTTTATGAAATCCTAAGTGGATTGATTTTTTTTTTATATATTCTGCATGCTTACTGTATGCAGAAGGATAGTGGAAACTAAAACCTTTTTGTTATTTAAATACAGCTAGAGATGTGATGATTTGAAATTTTGTGCAAATTCATCACTGTAAGTTTTTGTCACAGGTTTGGTAAATATAATTAAAAAATGCTCCAATTGTTAGGCTGTTATGTAAAAACGTGCCTGCAAATATTTTAAATAATTTATCTCCTGTTTTTAATTGGAATATATGTATTTTCTTTGATCATCCATTTTGTCTACATCAAACAAATTCACTATCTGGGACTGTAAATTCAAAAAGTAGTTTTCAACTGCTTATTTTATTTTGTAATGGACACTATTTGGACACTAATGGACACAAATATTTGTTCATATTAATCTGTCTTTGTGTGAAAAAAAAAAAAAAATATATATATATATATTTTTTTGCAAGTTAAATGTGATTACCAAAGTCTTACCAGCTTTACTCTGGTTATATGTCCTGCCCCAAAAAGCAAATCCCATGATGCTTTGCAAGGAGAGCTCTTGCAAAGCATTCTGGGGATTATTTTCTTCCATGGAAGCAAACTAATTTTAAGTTCACTACTTTTTCATCCACTAGATGTTCGGACACTCATATATAATGGTGTCACCCCATAAGGGGATGAGAGCGGACATTCAGACACAGCCCAAGAGTGCATTGGGGACACATCCAGGAGGAAACAAAATAACCAAAAAAGCTTTAAGTAAATACAGGCCTTACTAGTTTGAGTTCATGATTAGTCAGAAATACATTGTTTAACAATGTAATCCATGGGGGATCTTTAAAGAAAAAAAAAAACCCTGTGACCAAAAAGAACACGTGTGTCTATCTAGGATTTGTCAAAATAACACATCTAGGTCAACAATGCAGGTGGATAATGAGACAAAAGTGAAACTCTCTGGAAGCTGATATGTGTCGATGGACTCTATGAAAGTTCATTGGCTCTGAGCAAAAACTCAGAGGGAGGAGAGTTTATTGTTTAGTTAAGGATTGAAACCTGATGTCAATAAATTACCTTTGGGGCTTGGGGAAACTGGGCGTGTGTCTAATGATGTTTATGCAGTTGACTCATTTTTAAAGAACAATCCAGATGCCACGACCCTCTGCTTTTTCATGTAGTCCAACTGTTATGTTAATGATGTTTACGCCGTCTGATATTAATTTAGTTGCTTAACAGTGGAAAAAAGTGCTTCCCCTTTTGTTCCATTGCTAAGCCACTGGTTTTGTCGTGTCTTATTTGGGGAAAGGGGTGAATAATCTTTTCCTGCATTTTTTGTTTAAAGCAGGTGCTTTTCTGCAGAAACTGCTTTCGACACCAAATCCTAAAAGAAAAGCAGCTGCATGGAACTCAACTCTTTGCAATACTTTTGGCTCAACGCTGCTAATAAATCTTATTTGTTATTGTATTGTAAAAGCATTGTGTATTTTTAACACATATTCAGGTTTTTTCACCTGCTTTTATGCTTTTTAGATGACTCCGATGCCACGGAGCTGCTGCCTCTTTCGCCTCGTGCCTCGGACCCCAGCCTGGACCCTTTGAGGCGCCTTTTATCCCCGGCATCGCATCAGCTGTCTGATAAGCAGCCCAAAAGGACAGGAGCCGATTATAGGGCTCTCTGGAAAACCGCAATCCACCAGCAGATCCTCCTGCTGCGCATGGAGAAGGAGAATCAGAGGTTAGAAGGTGAGTCAGTACTTCCCTGCAGCAGAAGGGGCATTTTAAGCCTGGAGCACATTCTTTTCTGGTCACATGAAGGACACATGACGCTCATGGTGTCCTCATACTTTCCATAACAGGAAGTACGCTTTGTATTTTCCTCAGTGTTAGATTTAACCCTATTTACCAGTTTATGTTACAGAAAGCTCCATGACATGCAGTTCAATTTTTGTCCACTTTTGAGATGCCTGTTTGAAAAAAAAACATACCTGGCATTATCACAACATGTTTTTAACAACTTAAAAGGTGCTGACAAAGTATTAACATCTGATTGGAGCTGAGGTGCTGAAGACCAGAGCTAATTTCTGCCTGAATATGTTCAACAAAGCAAATCAGGAATCTCCACAGTTATGAGGCTTTAATTAAAAACATGTCTAAAGATAACGTATAGGTTTTTGTTATAGCTTAATCAATACGTATTACTGATGTTTAAATGCCTGATTTATTTATCTTGAAACAAAATGAATCATAAATCACCACCCCTCCTGCAGTACCTCCATGATCCAGGGGGTTGTGCCCCCCCATGAAGTGTAAAAAAACTCTACTCTAAAGAGAAAAATTAAGGCGTACATTTTTTTTTTTTTATTAATTTCTTTTTTACAATCTTTAATATAAAAATCTTGATACTCTATGTTAATTTTCACAACCAAAATGAAACAAAATATGTAAAAAGCTTGAAGTCATGATGTTATATTGGGATAATATTTACCAGGTTTTTTTATCGCTCCACTGTCACAAGTACAGCGCACTGAAGTGAACTCTCTGCATTTAACTCATCCCCTTGGGTAGCAGTGGTCTACTGTTGTGCGGCTCCCGGGGAGCAGTGTGGGGTTAAGGGTCTTGCTCAGGGACCCATAGTGGCAGACTGTGGGAGTGGGGCTTGAAATGAAAACCTGATTCCAACATGGATTCCAAGCGCAATGCCCTAACCACTGGGCTGCCACTCCCCTATTTTTCACAGTGGCCTCTAAATAATTAATTTCATTGAAGCATATTATATAGATTCATCACACACAGACTGACATTTTCCAGCCTTTTATGTTTGTTAATTATGAACATATTCAGCTTACAGCTATTAAAAGACTGACATTAAAATTTAAAATATTTGATCGGCCAATAGATAAAAACCAAAAAACATTTTAGAGTAGAAATTTGGGCTTAGTAAAAAGATTTTTCTAGTTGATTAAATATGACTGTATGGCATCCTAATGCAATGAGATGGAAGTCAGTAGAAACAGTGAAATATTTTGAAGATCTAACATGGTGTCACTTTTACAGCCACTAATTCATCACGACAGCAGGTGGCTTCCCGTGACAAAAAGTTCTGGTAGGGTAGACTCTAATTTCCCCTATTTCTGTCACTAGAACACAGAAGTAGAACAATGATCGTGAAAGACAGACTAAGTGTGAATGAAAGCAGCTGAAGGTCACACTCAGTCAGTAATTGTTCTGCTCACTGAGCCCCTGTAGTGAAATTAAAGGAAAGCTGTTATTAAGACACTGGAATTTTGCTTCACTCACACAAGTATTCATAAAGCTCATGACATGAGCTTCTTATTTTCCCTTGAAGTCAACTCCCTAGCTTTCCACTTATTCAGTGGCCAATCATGTTTCAAAGACTAAAACCTTTTTTTCTCTTTAGTGAAAAGAATGTGTCATCTGTTGTATAGAGTTCTGCACAGTTACAGTAGTAAAACACTAACTTTATGCTAACAAATGGTGACACATCTATTTTGATAAGAAAAACACTTAGCTACCCATTAAAAATGCAATATAGTCACAATATGTGCTTCTGACATGTCAATGACCATTTAAGGTTGAGCCTTTCTGTTTTGTAGTTGTGGCATTAAACAATTGTTTTCAAAAAGATGACCTTCTAAATGATTTACTTCCTTATAAAGAGAATGGGACGGTACTTTTATACCTTAAATGGTCAAATGAAAATTGTTTTGAAAGAAAGATGATTTAAATATAGACTTCTGCTTATTACATAATAAAAAAACGCACTAAACTGGTATTGATGATACCTTTAATGACCTTCAATATTGTAATGATTTTATGTTTGACATCCATACTTTTCTAAAAACTTGATGCCACTTGCAACTTCATAGCCCTTATTTTCTGTCAGCAAAGCTTCTTGAGATCGCGTTGTCTGGGTTCATGGAAAGAGTTTTAATCAGATTTTTTCTTTCTTTTTGATTGATATTGCTTCATATAAACACTAAAAGTCTTCTTAGGATTATGAACTCTGAAATCACCAACCCCTAGAGGCCTGATTGTTTTCTTTTTTTTTTTTTTACATCATTTATTCCTAATAATGTCAGACCTGCTCCCCTTCTATACAGGACAGCATTAACATTACTTTGATTGATAGACAGATAGACTTAATGTATCCTGGGAAATTGCAGTGTAGCAGCAGATTTTCACATAGTAACAATAAAATAAAATAACATCTAGTCGTATTTACTATATAAATGCGATCTACTCCCTGTATGTCCAACACCAACACTTCTCTTTTTGTTTGTCTAATATTTTGACGTCAATGCTGGTCTGAGGACCTTACGCTGAAAAACTGTTTTCTGTAGAAGGTAAGCAATATAGTAAAAGCCTTTGGGATCAGGGTAGAGGTTCTGCATGATGTTGGTGGCGAGCTCCAAGAGTTGTTAACTTCCTTTTTTTTTTTTTCTTTTTTTTTTGCATGTTAAGGGACAACTATCTTCATGGTGTCTGGTATTTTTTTTTATCTTTTCGACCCTCTCATCTGTATGGTCAGTTCTTTAGGATAATACTATTTTTCACTGGTTGTTATTATAGTGGCTTTTGTGTCTTGTTTTTCCATCTCAGTTGAAGGGTTCATGGTCTATATGACGGGTTCCTCCTGGTTTTATTTGTTTAAAGTACAGCCCTATTTATGTCTTCTCTAGTTTTACGTCAGCAAACATTGTTTAGTTTGTTTTCTTATCTGTTTCTGTGTTTCTAATCGAACTGAAGCGAGCCGAGATGAGCTGCACATCCGCAAACTGAAGCTCAACTACCAGGAAGTGTGCCCCTGCTCCCAGGAAGCTCAGGCACTCTGGGAGAAAAAGCTGACAGCTCCAGGCAGAACCACAAACCCTCAGGATAAGGAGGACATATACAGAGCAATCTGCCAAGGTAGGAGGGATGTTTAATGATCAAAGCATGATTTTACTGACTAAATGTTCCCCAACTTATTCTTGATCCTTTTTTTTTCTGCAGGAGTGCCAAAGAGTAGACGAGGAGAGGTCTGGTTTCTCCTTTCCCATCAGTATCGGCTGCAGCACAGACTCCCCCATCGTCAGCAAGCCCCAGACACCCCCTACTACGACCTGCTCAAGCAGCTCACCGCACAGCAGCATGCCATTCTGGTGGACTTAGGTGGGCATGCTCACCTAACGTGGTCTCTGTTTTACCACACAGGCCTATTAGGATTAGAAACAACAAAATGGGAAGTAAAGATGCACCCATTTGTTTTTTCCTGATCCAGTAACAACATACTGGCAAATATCTGTAACGATCTGATACTTGTGTTGATCGTACACCTTGCCATGTGAATAAATGCATTGTCTTTGACATAAACATTGTTAAAACAAGGTAACAATTTTACACAGATAAATCATCACTAGCTGCTATGTAACCATAAAATTTAGGTCACTAGATCACTGTAACTGTATTGCTCTGCAGGATAGCAATATAAATAGAAATAACTGGGTTAGAATACCGGATCGGCGTCATTTATCCGATATCCGATCCAACTAAATGGACAATATTGGGACCAATATCCGATCAGAGTATCTGTAATGGAAAGAATTTTTGGGAATATCTAACTTTTTAAAGCACAACTAAAGTTTGTACGGTCGGAATGTTACAGTAGTGAAGGTTTTTGCATGTAATTTAAAGAATTTAATTTGTTTGATTTTCTTTTTTTTTTTTTTACCTTATATCGATTTGACCAACGTTTGTCAGATTAAATAAAAGTGACCTCTGCATGTCAGATTGCAGTGAAAGAGATATGAGGAATCCAGAGACTGTAAGAAATAAAGATTAGTGGATTGATAACATTTTAATTTTCTGGTGAAATATTCCATTTTCATTCAGTTTCACATTTCTATTCCAGCCAGCAGGACACTAAAGGTTACTAGAGCAGAAACTGTTGGGTCTTTTCTACCTTTAAAGATGGGTGGTATTTAAGATTTGAGTCAAATATTTTCAGGGCAGACAGAAAAAAAACAAAAAACAAGTGTGGACCTGAACAAGGGGAGGGAAATAGGAGATGATGGTGAAGTTTACCATCAGTGAAAGAGTTGGTAAATCATGCATTGCAGTGTACATTGAGTTTTCTAAATGTTTTCATTGGCTAAAATCAGCAATTCTGCTTAAGGTTTACTATGTGGGGAAAAAATGTAAAGAGAAGGTTAATCAATTGGAGCTTTGATTTAAAGGTCATAGATACAACATTTACATCATGAACATTCATTAAAGAAAATATAATACATCCTCAGAAGGGACAGCCGAAATGCTGTTTGCAAAGACCGAACAGGACCGGTAGGAGAAAAATAGATACTGTCTGTTAATGGATTTAAGAGAAAACATATTGGTATCAAATCTAAATACGGTGCATAACTACCCTTTACCATGATAAGATTTATTGACTCATATCTACGGCACTCATCACTATCAGGTGGAGGTGCACCTTTCAGTCCTTTTTGGTGAAAACCCAGATGTGTTACACAGGAAAATTAGATTTTTTTTATTTTTATTTTTACCTAGAGCTCGAAGTGCTTTCCTCAAGATAGGGCCATTTTTCCTCACTCTTATTTTAAATCAATATTACTCTTTTTAAAGGCGAACCAAATGTTGATTTCTTTCTGAGTAGACCTTTTCTTTGATGTGAGTAAATTTGACTCCGAGAAATTACCTGCATCATTCAACAAAACAAAACACATGGCCTGTTTGAGCTTTGCAAGCTGTGCACATGAATACTGACTATGATTTGAAATAATTTCTCAGCAAACTAAGGCCACACAGCTTGCTTGTGCAGCTGACATAAAATCCCAAACACAAGCCAAGGATCGTTTGATAATGCCTTGATCAGGATGGAAGTGGAGTAAGGTGGTAGACTGATGTTACTGCCTTGCAACAGCCAGAATTACATTGATTTCTTTTATTAGGGGCTGTTTTCATAACAAAAAGCTAATATCGGTAAATCTGTTCACCTCCTCAGGTCGGACCTTCCCCACCCACCAGTACTTCTCAGCCCAGCTTGGTGCAGGCCAGCTTTCCCTCTACAATTTGCTGAAGGCCTACTCTTTGATGGACACAGAGGTACATGCTGTAATCCTCGCTGCTCTGCTCATTACAGTAGAAACCTTCTCTAAGGTTGTTTTAAAATGAGTTGCTCCTGTCTGTGCTCCACAGGTCGGCTACTGCCAGGGCATCAGCTTTGTGGCCGGCGTGCTGCTGCTCCACATGAGGGAAGAACAAGCGTTCGACATGCTGAAGTTCCTGATGTATGATCTGGGCATCAGGAGGCAGTACAGGCCCGACATGGTCTCCCTGCAGGTCGGTGCACACAAGTACTCATCCCCATCAGAACAAGTTATCTCATGAGAGCACAGGAATGTTTCAGTAGTGTGCATACAATCCCTGTTTTTTAATGTTCTTTAACATCATAGCCACAAATTTTAAACTATAGAAAGTGTTGCATGAATTTATATTCATAACTGGAGGTGTCCACTGCTGACAAAATCAGTCCTTGTAGCTTCTAGCTGCATCTTTCAAGTCATTTCCTTTTTAGAAGAGGAACTGCAACCCAGTCTAAATTCTTTTACAGCCTCTAAATGTCTTTTTGTTTTCTTATTAACTCTATCTATCTTGTTGTCTCTGCTGAAGAAATGCTGCCACCTCCATATTATTATATTATAGTATATTGTTATATTACTAACTAGTAAAAAGCAACGTCTTATTCCCTCTCCCCTTAATAATAATGAAGTCCTTTGTATTGCTCTCTTACATAATAAATACAATATATATAAAATCTTATAGTGACATTGAGTGGTAAAAATGCTTCTGCAAGGTGCACTGCATTTACAGTTTGATCACAGTGTTGAAATCTTTATAGATTATTCCATAAAGGCCACAGTTCTCATCTGTGTTGTCTTTGTCCACTTTTGAATTAAAGTCAGAAAGCTGATGAGGTGCTTAAATCAATATTTCAATCGTTTGAAATCATAAAAGGATTCTTTATCTACAGGAGATCAATGATGTTCTTAGAAAATTTCTTTACCTGCAATTTCCGGAGCCGAGATTTCATTAAAGCATGACCTGGAAGTTTGTGGAATCAGGCATTGCTGAATTACTAAAACAGTATGCATATTGTAGAACAGCAGTGTTCTCATTTATTTTAGCAGTGCTGAGCCACATTTTGAATTCATGTTGCAAGGGCCCAGCACCACTGTTTTCTGCATTATGAACACTGAAACTTTTTTGCTGTATCAACCACTGTAGTCGACTTCTCCCCAATCACCAAAACTGAGAAAGGAAAATATGATGAAATGCAACTTTCAGTTTACGCCATCATGAGCTTTAAAATGTGCAGAAACTCTTTCAGAGTCGATATTTAATTTTTTATGCTGACTGGAATTCATTTCCTTCTGATGTTTGCATTTTCTGCATATTTCTTTTTTAAATCTTTAAACTCAGTCTCCATTCCAGATTTTCTTCTGGAGATGTATGTTTGAATGTACAGAAACAATAAACATGCACACATGAAACATTTACTTCCTGTTTAACAGCAAGCAGGCTGGACGGCTTGTTTTATAGCGGTTATCGGCCTGTTAGCCTTTGTGGGTTTCCCTGCTGGCAGCAGCATGTCTCCACCTCTCTGTCAGACCACAGCTGCTCTGTTAGCTTCAGTTAAACATCAGCTGACCTCCCTGAAGTTAAAGCATCAGCGGGGGGGTAATGTTTAATCTCCTCCAGGTAGTCATTCAGCCAGGCAGAAGCTGTTCTTCTTCTCTCTGCTGCGGTTCTGCTCTTTAAAGACACACGGGAGATATTTGCTCAGTTTTCTGTGTCTTCATCAACAGTTAAAGGTATTGCTTATCTTCTTTGCTGCTGTGGGGAAATGTTAAAAGCAGAGTGTCTAATTTTAACCTGTGCTAACTTCTGCTTCTCCTTTTCTGCGCTCTAAGCTGTCTGATATTGTAAAGAGTTATTGCCCTTCATTAGAAGGATGGTCTTGTCAGAGCAAGTCCTATAAAAACAACTGTGCTTTCACATTACCTGCTGCTGTGCTTCAATGAAAAAAAACTTCTCTGATTCTTAGATTTCTCTTAGATAACTCTTCTCCTCCAGATCCAGTTATACCAGTTTGTTCTGAAGCAAAGTTGCCCTCTCTCTCTCTCTCTTGTTTCATCTCAGATTCAGATGTACCAGCTGTCCAGGTTGCTGCACGATTACCACCGGGACCTGTACAATCACCTGGAGGAGTACGAGATTGGGCCCAGCCTCTACGCCGCGCCGTGGTTCCTCACCCTTTTTGCCTCGCAGTTCCCGCTTGGCTTTGTGTCCCGCATCTTTGGTAAAGTCAAGAGTTCTGGCCTCTCTGTTTGGGGCCAAATGTATATAATATTTATATCAACCTTCAATCTTAGAGGGACATTAACACTTTTCTGCTGCCTCTCTTTTTTTTTTTTTTTATTGTCGTTAGACTTTGTATTTGTACAGGGTACAGAGGCGATCTTTAAAGTGGCCCTCTGTCTGCTGAGCAGCCATGAGGGGGAGATAGTGGAGTGTGACAGCTTTGAGAGCATTGTGGACTATCTGAAAACTACCCTCCCCACCCTGACACACACACAGATGGAGCAGACCATCGCAAAGGTACACTAAGGAACACTATGGGATGTAATAATTCCTTTTATCTGACAGTAAATTTGGATCCTCCTCTGACTTTTTCACATTTCTGTGTTGAACTTCTTTCTTTGCTTTAAATAAGTATCTGTTTTGGCTTTACCATGTGTCTGATTGTGACGATTGATGCAGTAAACATACAAAAAATAAATATAAATACATTTGCATGTATTTTTTGTTGGGGTTTACTATACCTGTTTTCTCACCCATTTTGCACCCTTGTCCCATTACGCTCTTAAACTTTAGTGTTTTTAACCAATAATATAATCCCCACAGCATGACACAGCCACCTCAATATGTCAATGTTGGGTAGTGTTTGCCCAGGATAGTGTCCTGGTCTCATCTGACCAGAGCACACCTGCTGTGTCCTTAAAGGTATAGTGGAAAATGTTCACAAATTTTTGACAATTCACCTTTAAAAAGCATGCATGACCCTGTACAAAGAGGGAACACCTATAAGACATGTGCGAGAGCATGCACAACCCCTTTTCTCCTTAAGGATGTGCGGGTACGCAATGATAAAACGGTGGCTCGGATGGATCTCATGTCACCCATATTTGTATATAAAAAGTTTCCCTGCAAATAAGACTACTGCTACTTTACAAAAATAATGACATGCTTGTAAGGAGAGTATTGGCCTAGTGGTTGGAGCAGTGCGCTTGTGCTCTAAGAAGTTTGCAACTACCCGGTTCAATCCCCATAGCCTTCATTTTGGGCAAGACCCTTAACCCTACACAAGGGTCCCCCTCACATTGGTTGCCACACAATGGCAGCCCTCTGCTCTGCAAGGGGAGGGGTTAAATGCAGAGTTTATTTAATTGCTCTGTACTTGTGACAGTGTAATGTTGATAAAAAAGCTGAAAAAAAAGAGAATGTGTGTGTTTGCTGCAGTGGAAATTTAGATGCGTTTGTGGGGTAAATAAGGATCTGTATCCACCGTATAACTGCATAACGATGCTAATTACAAGAGAGAAAGTTACAATATAGAGGTAGATAACTTTTACTAGCAGTGATGTGAAATTGATTTCTCCAAAAAGCATCCAAAACTTTACCTGTCGAGTACAAACTTTGCAACCGAGGCATCAGGAGGAAGCCCTACCTGTGATTTCAGTGTATGCCAACACATGAAAGAATCTCCTACACTCTAGTCTTGTTTTTCTCTTCTGAGGCCTTTCTTTTCTTCTCATGCACTTTGTAGACATTTTTTTACTTATGACCCTCGGCCATTTTCAAAGAACCGCAGTGAAAAAGGCGAGCTTCAATGACTTTCTGAAACCGTAGCTTAGCATATAAAAGTGCACATGCGCAGAAAAAGAAAGCTAACTGAGGACGAGCACGTAGGACGGCCTTATGTAAACATATCACCAGAATGATTGACAATTAGGGGGACCACTTGTTTAGATGATCCACCCGGAAAAAGAACATTCTCCACTATACCTTTAAATGACCAGTGGTAAACTTTAAATTGGAATCTTCATGTTACTGCAGAGCTTGACATTGCTTAAAAATTTATTTTTTTATTTTGGTATATAATAAAATTAAATACTTCATGTTCTTTCTGTTTGATTTGAACATAACACTCATGAGTTTTGGTTTGTAAATCACTAATTCAAATCAAAAGGGGAAAATTCCCACCTTTTTTGGGCTTCATTCCAGGTTGAACTGGGCCTATGTTTCTGCTCCAAGTGACAAGTGCATTAAAACCATTTTATGAACAAGATAAAATGTACTAAATTTCACATACTGTTCTGCTTTTAAGTGTACTGCCATTTATTTCTTGCCAGAAGAGGAGTTTTAAATGTGACGAACAAACCCTGATACTTTTCTGATACCAGTGCTCTATTTCCTTTGTTATAATCATTACAGTTGATTTAATTTTTTTAAGAGATGGCATAAACTCCTCTCTAAAAACAAATATGACCTGTATGAATGTACGCATCTATTTCAAAAAGCCAACTCAAGATTAGTATACGGTTAGAAAAGGAAGTCATAAAAACAGTTGACATGACCACGGTATAAATTCCATCCTTAAGACAAATATACAACCATACGGGTTTGAATAGACTATTAATCCTTTTTGTTGTCCTTTTTTTCTTCACTTTTTTCTTTATTTTGAAAAATTAAAAGCGGAAAGAAGGAAAAAGAAAAAAAGATTATTAATTAACTCAAGGTCCGATGCCGTAACAAGAAAAAACTTTTTCTACTGTTCAAGAGACTTTTAACCTAAACTAAATCCATCGTAGAAATAGACTAAATAGATTGCCTCCTATTGACTGCCTATACCCGATCTAGAACTTCAATATTAGCACCCATACAGATATTAATATGTAATATCTGGTCAAGGCGGCAAAAAGGAGCTGAATGGCACTAAGCAACACTGGTAAGTGTTGCACCAACTACTTTTTGAACTCTATTTTGTATTCAAATATCAACTATCTAAAAAAATATATAGAAAAAATAAATTAGAGTCTTAAAAAAATGTTTTCCCCTCTTTGTGTCACTCTTCTATTAAGGAACCTCTGACAGAAAGTTTTATATATTGTGGGATAAAGAAAAATTGGGAATTTGGATTGGGATGAACTTACTTAATGTCTTACTTACTGGTGGCATGTTTGGATTTGATTGGGAGTAGATAATATGCTGAATATAACCTTTTCCTTCCACCTTACAGTTATATTGATTTGTGGAAAACATCAGATTTGTGTAACATGAAGATACAGTAGTTCAGGGGAATATCCCCACTGATTCCATGTACTCCTATTAAAGGTTTGATGATGCAAAATCTTCCACTGCATTAGAAAGTGTTTAATTGAAGACCTCATGAGTCTGTATCAGAACAAGAGGTGGAGGACACTGTACACTTAGAGGTACCCTAACTCATGTTTGATCGCCAGGTAATGGAGATGGACATCTCCAAGCAGCTGCATGCATATGAAGTGGAGTACCACGTCCTGCAGGATGAGATGTTAGATGCCGGGCCGGCGCCCGATGACTCAGACAGACTCGACAAATTAGAGAAGACGAACGTCCAGCTGAAGAAACAGAACATGGACCTGCTGGAAAAGCTTCAAGTAAGGAAACATCAAAAGCATCTTCTAGACTGAAACACTTTTGAGACACTACAACACTATTTTCAGAAGGAATCTTCACACGGTGTGTGAATGTAGATTTTTAGTCATTTTCTCAGATTGCCTGTAGGTGGCACTAATGCACCAGGAGAGAACGCAGTGGAGTTGTGAGAATGTTTAGGAGATGAAGGTCGGAGAGCTGTGATGTTCTGCCCATACCTGAACCATTACAGTGAAGTGTGAATTTGTGGAGGAGGACTGAATAAGTCACACCTGATGAGCTCCATATTATCAGGAGGTCTTGAGGTGCTCTCATCTCTGATTTAACAAGATGAAATTACTGGAGTGTCTGTCTTTTCTGAACTAAATAAGCGACTCGTAAAAAAAAAAAAAAGTTTTTTTTCAGATTGTGGATAAACTGTAGATTTAGATGCTTTGTGATGACTTTATCGTTATTGTTCTCTGCTATATAAAAAGTCTTTCAGTGTCCCTTTAGAAACGGTGTTGCAATCTCTGTGTCCTGCAGGCTGCACGGCAGAAGATTCAGACTCTGGAGACGAGCGTGGAGAACTTCCTCTCTCGGGAGAGCAAAATGAAGCACATGATTCGCTCCCTGGAGCAAGAGAGGACAGCGTACCAGAGGACCATTGAACGCATGCGCTCCAGTCTTCCCCCAGACGCTCTGACAGATGTGGAGATGACCCAGATCAAAACAGGACCCAATGGGAAAGCCAAAACTCCAGCCAAGAAGCCCTGATGCCAATGGGTTGGGTTGGGTTGGGGGTGGGGGGATATAGCCATGCTGGGCAGATGCAGCAGCTTAGATCAACAAACAGACAATCGAAGACTGCTGAGAGGAGGGCTGATGAGCCCTGCTTTACCTCTGTGGTGAAGTGTGGCAACCGTTTTTATAGAGGCGTGACGTCTTCAGACGGACAGACTGTTTGGGAAACATGTTGGTTGTGTTTGCGAGGAGATAAAGGAGCAGTGGGAGGATGATTTCAGTGAATTTCTCAGTGTTTCCGTTCTGCTGTTCTTCTCGTATGATTCACAACCAGTTTGAAGGTAAAATCAAAGACCAGATCATCCTTCGACGGTTGGATCATTCGTGAGTGTGTGTGTGGGGGGTTTCTATGTTAGCACTGCCTCAATGTATTTACTACCTGCCAGAGTAACTCCACAGAAGCTGCCTGTTGGCACCTCAGACCTTACAGCCATTAACCAGTGGGCGATCCAGGAGTATTTTGTAGTTCTTTAACTTTTGTCTTTTATGGAAGCTTTGCCTCTTTGCTTTATTTCATATTCATCACCTAACATTTTTCTGAATGTACACTCTCTGGCATTAATTAACAGCAGATTTAGAGTTTAGCATTACCGGAAAACATTCAGTTCTGTTCCGTTTTCTCAAGAAGGAAGCGTTTCTTCCAGATCTTAGACAGGATGTGAGGTCACCTGCCTCCTCGGTTTCCTTTAGACTCTGGCCGGAGAGACGTCTCTTCTTTTAGCACCGCCTTCAGACTCCCAGGCAGAACTCGCTCTCCCCAGGAGGCGCAGACTAAACAGACTGAGGTGGAGACGTGATCTGTATGTACACACTGCTGTACTTAAGAGCAACAACAAAAAAGAAGCTTCCGATGCTTTGATACTATAGTTTCTGCAGCATCTCCAATTCATAGCTGTTGAGCTGATTCACATTTTGTCTCACTGGAACTTATCAATACAAAGAGGCACTCAATTCTGAAATAGAAGATAAATTAAGCACCCATCTGTTGTCTATAGCCACTTTGGGTTGCACAGAGGGGAGGCATCTGCATCTCTAATGGTTACTTGGGAGAGTTGGGGTACACCTTAATCGTTTTGCCTGTCACGTATTATTGAAACACTTTCATACCTCAGGGCGATTTAAAAAGCGTATTTTGAGCTGTGGTACCCAGGTAAAAATGATGGTAACATACGAAACTCAATGCAGAAAGAGCAAGAGTCCCGACTTCAGAGGAACCTATTGCTAACTGGGTATATTGCTAGCCACTGTTGCCTTTGGACGCCTTTTACTCTGATACCACCAAATAAACTGCTGTGCAACCACTTGCCTCTTGAAGTCAGTTAGCTGTCTTTATCTTCAGCTGCCAATTGAAGTCTTTGAGAGTCAGTGAGATTATAATAAAGTATCATGAGTGTTGTTCATTAAAAAGAAAAGTAATGATTTAGTCAAACAGCAAAGATGCCTTTGGATAGGCAGGAGGAGCTGCAGAGATCTACTGCTCAGGTGGACTGGATATTGGAAGTCAACTACTTGTTCTCCATTGAGTGTGTCTAACCTATAGAGGACTGGCAAGAGCACGGACCTTTTTGAAAGAATCTAATTAGAAGTTCTGTTTGCAGTTTGCCAAAAGCCATATAGGAGATTTTTTTTAAGTCACAAGCAGGTTAGAGTTGATGTGATGTGAAATTGGATTTTAGATCTGTTAGAACCTGCAAAACGAGGTGGAGGTTCACCTTCCACCAGGGCAACCACTTTAAGCCATCAGGTCAAAGTCTAGACCCCATTTTAATGGAGAATCTGTGGAAAATTGAAAATTGATGTTCAAAGATGCTCTCCACCCTTCCTGACCTAGATTAGGCTTTTACAAAGCCGGCAGAGACACAGTCCAAGATACCTAAAGTTAATTGCATAGAAAGGTTATTATATGATTGACTCAGGAGGATGAATGCCAATTCTTGATATATTTCCATATTTTTGTAAGATAAAAAAAAAAAAATCAGACGTCATTCCTTCCCCTTTACATTCAAGCATCACATTGTGTGGGTCTAACACAAAAACAGTCTGTCTAAGACAATTGAGTTTTGTGGTTGAGTGAGAAAATATGAACAAGTTTAATGGGTGTGAATCCATCTAAAAGGCATTTTACTGAGCTTGAGGTTTTAATAAGACACTGGGCTGTTTGTCACAGAGTTTGGGTGAGCAGAGAAAGGAGCTAAAATGAGCACGAGGACACTTGAGTTGCCCTCTCAGCGATAATGAAGCTTGGTTTTATATACAGTATCTGCACACACACACTGCAGTGAAGTGCTTGACTGTGTGGACAGATGGTTTATATGATTTAAAAGCTCTGTCCCTAGCTCCCTCTTTGATTTTGTTTTCCCACCTCCATGTCTGAACCACCATCATCACTTTTTATTCAAGTGAAAACTTGTCCTGGTTATTTTTTCTTCTTTTAAGAAGAGAAAAAAACAAATTTTTTACTATTAGATTAGGGTGACTTCTATCAAGAAACAAAGTGTTTATCATACTTCCTGCACTTAGAGACAAGTGACAGTCAGGTTGAGAATAAAGTTTTTGTTCGGATGCATCGCTCCCAGAGGATGTATGGTTTGGCAGCCAGTGCAGTGTTTGTTTAACACACTCCTGCTATGCTTCTGTCCTTGAACGTAACAGCAGCTAATTCACACAAGACGTCATTAACTGTTATGTAAATAAGTTCCCAGCTAAAAGAAATGTCTTTTTTTCATTGATTGAACTGTAATTGAGAAATGAATTGTATGGATCTGTCCTGCAAAACATATCAAGCAGCTTTGTTTTTATCATTTTTAAAACAGCAACCTGTAAAGGATGCATGCGATGGAGAAGAACTAAGCTTCTGCCTGTTGTTTGTATTACTGCAGTATTTGTGCATCTTCATAATAACACATCATGGAACCAAAGATGTGCTTTATTGCCTGGAAATATATGAATGATCCAAAATGCAGTGTTGGATTATTTGGTTTATGGACTCTTTCGCCACCTCAGTCTCACATTAAATGTAGATGTTGCAACTTGGGGGAGAAGAATACCAGATATTGGTTACAAACTTGACTACTTGATTAAAAAAAAATAATAATCAGGTCTTTTTTTATAATTGAACAGCTTTTAGTATCTTATTCGACTCAAAGCCCTTTAGCCCTTTTAGAGCATTTCTAACACAGAACATTAGGTGGTTAAAATGATGGAGAAATGGCTTGAAGAGTGCTGGGATGGATGCAAAATTAAATGGATCAATGGGTCCTAGTTCTCCAGAATTTTTCTTAACTTGGAAAATAAATTTCATAGTTTTTCATGCTGCGATGGAACCCTTTACATGATCTATAGAGGTGAACCTCAGGATTATGGCATAAATGTTTTGTAAAATGACACTTTCAGGGTGATTGAAGGTTCCCTATCTTGACCCGATAAGTGTTTGTATCAGTTTGTTTGAACTGTCAACACGAGGAAGGACCTGTCCTGAATTTATCAATAAACCGTACCTTGCCTTGTTTCCGTTTGCTTATCTGCCGATGTATTTCCTTATCACTATGAGCTCGAATAAAGATGGTCCATTTCCTTTGCACTCCAAGGTTACCGAAGAGCTCATTGCTTAAAAGATCAAGGTAAGCATTGACATCCACAAAGAGAATGGATAAAAGCTTTTTATTATTACAAGTTTTTCTTTCATCAGGAACTTGTGCAAATGGAAATACATTTCCAAATATCAAAGAATATTTAGTGAAATCCCTCAGTAGTTGTTAAAGATTCAGCCTTGAGGGATTTAATCAAATTGTTGATTTCTTTTCCCAGTCACGTGTGACTCGCTTCTCTGCAGCGGGAGGGGAAAAACATTAACACCAAAGCTGGATAAAAAGATATAAGCAGGGATTTGATTGTTATTAGAAATGTGAAATATTTGAATAAAAGTTGATTTTATAAATATCAACAAATCATTTCCAGTTTCTCCTTTTCTACAGAAACAACTCCAGCCTTATTTTGTATTAAAACCATTTTCCTATGTATTGAGTAGAGTTTGTGTCCCAAAGTGCCCTCAAATAGTGCTCTGAAAAAAATGTTTGCCCCCTGCTTTTTGTCACATTTTGGACAAACCAAAAGTGGGAAAAATGTCTGAATTCAGATTGCTGTTTTCAAAAGATTCTGTCCTACGTCAAGGTGAAAAATGCTTTCTGAACCAACAGGACCAGATGTAAAAAAGTAATTATTCCACAAATTTTAAACTCAAGACCTGCGGGCCAAACCCGGTGCTTCACTGAAGTTTGTCCTAATAATTTATAGCTATTGGTTATTTCAAAAGTGCTAAAACTGAGAAAATAAATTTAAACGAAGACACCCAAGCATTTCGCTCTTATTAAATTGTTAGTAAATAAAACAATGAAATCAAAAGTTTCATTTGAACAGCTATAACATGCAGTTTTTCTAGGCGTCTTTCTGCTAAGGTTGAGTGATATAAAAAATTAAACACCCCTGCCTCTTGACAAATACTTCCACTCCAGTGTTTGCAATAACTGATGAGTCTTCTTTATCACTGAGTAAGTATTTCTTGCCTGTCTGCAGTTTTGTTATAATTTAGCCATACTTCCCATATTGAGCACAAATGTCAAGTTTTCAAAGATAGCCACTCTGTAGGCAAATTCATTTTTGGAAGTTGTTCATTGGAAGTGTTTTGTCCCCCTCCATGCATGTTGGAAGTAGGTGAAGTTATGCCAGAAACATCTGGATATCTGTTGAATCTCCAATATGAGTCTGGATTTCAGTTGGTGATTCCAAAACCATAATTAAGTCTTTTGTTTTAGCCATTCAGAATTAAGTCTGCTTGTATGCTTCAGCTTATTTTAATAATCTACTCCTAATTGAGCCTCTCCTAATTGATTTGAGTGGATAAATGAAGGAGACTAATTTCACTAGTTTTATTGCAGAACACTGGATATATTATAATTCCTCCAAAGAAATGGTTCTGTAAAATGGATGTATTGTTTGGTCCTTCCTGTCTCATGCTGTTTTTGTTTTACTGTTTTCTAAAATGCTGATGGCTGAAAATTATAAAAGCACAAATAACTCCCCGACTACATGTAGAATGTGGTTGGTTGAAATTGTTTAAATACTAGGTACATGTCAATATAATACAATCCTTGAAATTCTGATTCTTTATTGTAGTGGTATTTAAAAATAAATAAAACCAGATGAGTTGATTTCTTCTAAGGAAATGTGAAGCTGCTGAAAAGTATTTCCACTGTACAGTATCTTTGTGGAATAGTCATTTCAATCTAAAAAAAACTCACAGGAAAAGACAATTAGGAGAAATTTATGGATACAATTACTTTGTCTATAGATATGCATGAACAGGAGCAAAGGGTTGTTTCCCCCCAGGCCTGAAACTGGTGGTGGAGTGGAGATAGATGAAGTTGGTCAGTCTGTAGACTGCTGGTTAGTGAGACGTATGCTGAGCTTTATGGGGAGCTCCAGTGGATTGTGTAAGCTGATACTTGATACTAGAGCTTCACTCAGGGACCTGAAAGATGGAAGTCCAGTTGGATAACACAGGTTGAGAGAACCTGTCCATGATGAGCAAGCATGAAGCAACAGTGGGGAGGAAAAACTCCCCTTTGGGAACAAACCTCTGGCAGAACCAGGCTCAACATGGCGGTCTTCTGCCGGACCAGTTGAGATGAGACATAGAATGCAGTAAGAGTCCAGGAGGAAGGACACTCTGATGAAGCTGTAGCTACGAAGATGGAGGAGGGGCTGGAGGTGGGTTGAAACGGTGTCATGTGAAGAAAGTCGCAGACAGGTGTGTATTGGGGCCCTTTTAAGATGAACTTTGGATGCCGATTAGCTTTCATGGAGGTGTGGTTCAAAGCTGATTGGCTGTGTCGCAGGTGGATGAAGGAAAGCAACGAGTTTCTTCAGCTGAATTTCCGCCTAGGCTCCATTTGGAAATAAGCATGTAATAATAACTTGAATTGTATGAGACAACTGCTGAGTTCGAATTTAGCTGCTGCATCCTCCTAAGACCAGATTCGTCAGCCGATTATGTCGTAGCCTATCCTAAAACATGTTTGCCTGTCTTCTGACTCTCATGTTTTCATTAAGAAATTCTGAGCAAAAGTTTGCTGAGTTTTTTAAACAGTGCAGAAATCTATTATCTTATTTCTAAATTGGGTGCAGTTTATTGTCTGCATTTTCCTGTAAATTGATCTCCCCCCCCCATTAAAACATATAATTAATCATAGTGTAAGCTTTTGGACTTTCTTACTCACAAACCTTCAGAATTCATTTTAAAATAAGCCTGCATTTCTCTGCATGTTGTGTCTGTAGCAAACCTGAAGAAACAGACTAGTGGCCGAGAGGAGTAAAAGTGTCATGTCCTAAAAACCTTCATACTTGCAGAAGATTGTGGGATTATGGGAAGTTTCGGAAAGGTTTTGAGTCGTTCTAGCACCCTGGGCTAATTCCAGCAAAAAAGGCAGCAATGTAGAGCCCTAGCCATTTGTTTAATGTGTGGTTTATAAATAATAAAAAAACGGAGCAAGCCCACCATGTGTTTGATTGGCCAAGGAGGGCCTTTGAATGATAGCAGCTATGAGCTCAGTCATTGTTTTCCTAGGAGGGCCTTACCCAGAAAGGACTGTTGGAGTGTTGCTCTGATCAGCCTCTGCCAAGCCTGGAGCTCGTCACACATAAGACACACAAATGACCGCCAACCAGAAGCCTATCGCACGCTAAACAAAAGGGACTGCATTCCTTGTGTATTCCCACACGAGGACACATCCTGCAGCAGGGCAGCAGTGGGATGCAGGGTCTCCATGGGGGAATTGGCCCAGAACAACACTTCCTCTGCTGAAGGCTTATCAGCTCTGCTTATGTTTTTTTTTTTTTTACTATCTTCATTCTTCAACCCATCCCTGCCTCCCACTCCACCTCCCAATCTCCTCAGCCCCTCCAAACAGATCTTGGCGGGTTGATCAGAAGCTTTGGTATTGATCACTTTGCTCTGCGTCTTTTTGAGCTGCTCCAATACTTACTTTCTGTTACATAAACCATCAGCTTAAACAGGGCAGATTATTTTTCATGAGTTGTGGTCTTACTGTAAAGACCACAAGACTAAGAGCCAAGTCATAAAAATTATTTAATAACATTGTGGTTACGTGGGAATGACGTCTCTATTAATATTGTAGAAATGTATTTGCTAGTTATACTTTAAGCCATGGGACCCCTGAAAAACTCTTCTACCTCCACACTCAACATCTCAGGTGTGGTTCTTATTATATCTCATTTTCACCTCACTGAACACTGATGTACTTTGTTTTTCTTTTGTAGGTGGCATCTTTCATCTCTTTAAAGATTACTTGTTGATGGTTGGTCCAGTTTTTATCTAAAGATCAGAAATTTGGATTTGCAAGTAGAAAAATTAAGTTTAATTTCAACTGCATTTTTTGAAAGTTGAACCTTCTGGCGCCAAACGCAGCCATGAAAGAGGAGTTGCAGTATTAAATTGTTCTTTTGTTTTATGATAATTCAGATCATCAGGTGTATAGAGTAATGCATAGCATCTACTTATAAGAACGTTCTTCGGGTGTTTCAGTACATTCCAGTTTTTTTATTATGAATTTGTATTAACTAAGCTAATGCTATATGACGTCCTGAACATTTTCCCCAACCTTGGTCTCCCATTGGTCAACATGAGACCCCACTCTGCCCAGTAACAAGGAAGAGAGTCAAACTGTGCATAAGTATATTAAAAAGATCTGTGTAGTTCATATTCAGGTCAAACATTTTTCGCTGTTACTTCATGTCTAAAGTATGTAGGCTAATCATCACTACTGGTAACAACAGTTATCCACGCCTTCCACTTTAATAGATATATTAGAATACAAACATTAAATCAATCTATTAAATAGAAATATGCGTAGGTGTTAAGGAAAACAATGACATTTTTTTTCTTGGTCTGAGCATTTCAGATTCTGCTCGGGGATTTTTACTCTCAACTGTGTCTTAGTCTTACAATTATTTGTTTGAAAAGAGATGAAAATATAGTGTAGATAAAAAATATGATCTTAATGTTAAAGTTGGAATAAGTGTTTGACCAGTTAAACTTCGTAGGAAGCAGCTCAGATATCTTTGTTTGCTGAATGCCAACCCTGAATGTGCAACATGTTGAACCTTATAGTGGATGAGTTACAGCAGCAGAGGACCACACCACATGAACCTTAAATTTACAAAGTTTAACCAAAACTGGACAATAACAAGCTGGAAAAAAGTCTGATAATCTTTAGCTGCATGTGTCATCTTGTGACAATTATTTCTTTAAGCCCCTTTGTAGAAACTGATGGTAAGTAAACACCACAGTGAACCACGGAGTATGATTGTTGATTCTGTCCGTCTCTCCAAGCACACTTTGTTCCAATCTTCAGATGGCTTCTTCCAGCAGAAAATTGAACCTTGTAAAAAAGTTGAAAATCTCCTATTGTGGAGGATATTTGCAAATGTTTT